GGGGGGGGGAGGTGACGTACAGCCCACTATAGTATTAAGAGTAATAACGTAGATTGTCGAGAGCCGCGAACAACGAAAAACAAGTGTCCAGACCCGACCTCACACGTAAAAAAGGTGTTGAAATTTGCGGCGCAGGTTATGTGGTTTTCTGACGCCCCCTCCCCCCCCCCCCCCCCCGTTGGAGTCAGTTGACCGTCCATACCGTTTCAGGGTCTAGGCTCCTAGGCCCCTGTTCTCCCCTATAAAGGATCTAAACATAAATTCACTCGACTAAGACAACATTAATTTTGGATTTATAACTTTAAACTCAGGGGACGTAAAGTGAGTATACATCGTGTGTTTATAACCAGGAATTTGGAGTTAGTTAAAATTGGCAATAAGACCAAAAAAATTTGTGTAAAGAGGCCAAAAAGGTTAAGGGGAGACGTCGATTTACTTTCCGATGGCTTTTATGTAGCGCATAGCAGGGGAGGAGTCGTTGGAACGGTATGGGTTGACTGCGTGTCGTAAATGGCGCGAACTCAGAAGTCGGTTTGGTTTCGTACAGACAAAGTACCCCCACCCCCAGTGAAAATTTGTAGGGTCGTGCCACTAACTTCTATCCTCTACATCGTATATCGGTCAGACTCATAAAGCTAGACCTCTCAAAAAACAGGCCCCGTTCGCACCCCTATAAAGGAGTCGAGCCGCTTCCGGTGCAACTTGCGGAGGTGGCCTAGCGAGAGACCATCGCACCCGCTCGCCATGAACGGCACGGAGGATGCGGAGGAGAAGAGGAGGGCCGAGTCCCCGACCAGTCTAGACGTAGACCCGGCAGGAGCGGGAGGCACGTCCCGAGCAGCTCCACCGTCGCCACCTGAACTCCGCACTCCTACCTGAGGCCCAGCCTGACTCAGGTCCTCTCAGCCGGAGGCAGCACCAGGCCTGACTCGTAGTTAGAAATAAGAGACAACCCGACAGTGAGAGGCACTCTTTGACATCACTACCTGTCTGTTGTTAATTCGTAAATAAATATAAGGGGGTTTTGACGTGAACTTACAGATTTTTGTAAAGATGTAAAATTAATGCTCGGAGGAGCTACGGTAAGAAGTTATTACCTTTTACAGTTAATTGCCCTAACACATCACAAGACGTGGGCTCCGGTTCAATACTTCTCTACGGTTCGCCCCCGAACTAGGACCCACGGTCCCTGGGTATTTGGTTTCGTCAGGATGCAAGCAACGTATTATTGTATTAGAGGTATTTATTATTTACGTAGGTTGTTAAGCACATTACCTATTAACCAGTTACGGATTCCGGAATGATAATGCTTTTGTGTAAATTCAGAGCAAAAAAGCGAGAGGTTTAATAATAATAAAACAAACTATTTAGGAATGTTATTTCTTTACGCCATTCAACACTAGTAAAAATCTTCCTCTTTCAGGAAAAAACACTTAATTGTAGTAGTCTTACACGGTAGTACAGTCGTACACTACTGGTAGCGGGCCCCGCAGGCATTCATGTCCCCCTCCCGGAGCTGGAGGAGAGGAGGGAGAAATGTGGAGGGATATCAAGAATTTGGTTTTGAAATGATATTAGTTAAATCCTAATGTCATGGATATATTTAAATCAAAGTCCTGCCCTCACTGTACAAATCCGAGGTCTAATAATTAACACATTTCACATCGAGAGGAAGGATGTAAAGAGATAGCTGCTTTAGATCTAGTTTAGATGATGTGTTCCGTGAAGGAAGAAAAAAAATGCGTAAGTGCCACTTATGACATATACAATTGTGACCTTAATAATTTTTTTAAAGTGTATGGAATTATTTATTTAATTGTGTTTATATTTAAGGCTAATGTATTTATGTTTATATCATAGGCTGGCTTCTTTTTGTATAAATGTATATTGTTTTGTTGCTTCTATATTTTAGGCTGTGAATTGAACTTGGAAAGTGATGGTGTTCTGTTACAAAAGGGCCGTTCTGTTACTCCATCATTTATTCGTTTGGTGTATGTTTGATGTATGTCATTTTTATATTTATTTTAATGTCACGTCTATTGCCTATCAATAGCAACGATAAGCACTTCAAGATGGGGTCCAATGGCCCCATAAATGTTTATTTCCCTCCACCGTTGTGTTGCTCGAAGAATAAGAAACGGGCTGCTCAAATTTGCAATTTCAAAATGTCAGAAAAATGTAATAAACGGGGTCATCAGAAGCAACCCTCTTTTTTGCTGTTACCAAAAAATAACACTGATCATTTTGAAATAATAGTCTGAATTTATTCTCCTCAATGCTTTGATGTTATATTTTGGTTTATTTATTTATTTGTGTCATGCTTTGTATTACGAAAATCCAATAAGTCATTTTATAGTGAAGGAAAAAAACAAACATATCCACTATCCAAAGATTTTGTGTCTCTTCAGGGTTGTGTAGGCTACTTGTTGCTTTATGCAGATCTTTTGTAGTAGAGGTGTGTGTGACAGCTGGTTTCTAATGAACAAACTTTCATATTTTCCGCTTTTATTTTTAATTAAAACGGAAATACTTGAAAAATCCCTCTCCTGGTTTGAAATATTTTTGTTACAAATGTTTTTGAAATGTATGGAAAAAATAGCGACAGCTGTAAATATCCAGCTGATTGGCATGATGGATACTGAGCAGGATGACGTAAGGCTCGTGCTCTTTGACGCGCGTGCACGTGCACACGCGCTGGGTGCTATAAGTGCAAATCAGTCCAACATATAGTCTACTGTACACACACACACACACACACACACACACACACACACGCACACTCACACATATCCTACTGTACACACATACAATACAAGAGAGTGCACACCAATACAGATATTAAAAACAAATCTGTGCGCACACACACATATCTCTCTTTCTCTCTCTCTCTCTCTCTCTCTCTCAAACACACACACACACACACGCACACGCACACGCACACACACACACACACACACACACACACACACACACACACACACACACACACACACACACACACACACACACACACACACACACNGCTTCTTGCTAACATGTTTCTTTCTGATAAATGGAAAGATATTATTTAAAATGCACATTAAGGTGTTGATATCGCTATTTTTGTCAATTTGCTTCTGAAGATTTCTTCAGAAGCAAATTGACAAAAATAGCGATATCAACACCTTAATGTGCATTTTAAATAATATCTTTCCATTTATCAGAAAGAAACATGTTAGCAAGAAGCACTTTAGTGAAAAAGGATGAACTGCATTTTCATGTTTCTGGATCTTCATGAAGTATTACATGTTACTGATATGTTCTAAAACAGAAGTATGATCTAATGTGAGTTTCAGACCACCAACACAAAGTCTTTACCAGAAACATCTTGACTACAGCGAGTGTCACCCTCTGCCTGAAATGACCATCCTCTGGTGACTGCACCACCCGTGTGCACCGCCCTACATCAGCTGTGGGATGTAATTGCAGCAGGCACAAACAAAACAGCCTTGGAGGGGTCCTTCATGTCTTTGGCCAAGGGCCTGGCGGACTGAGGGAGGGTGGGGGGGGTGACGCAGACCAGCGAGTGCAGACCATCTCCACTTCTCCGTCTGTGGAGCAATTAGGGTGGTGGGCCGTGTGTGTGTGTGTCCGTGGGCTCCAGCTGTCAGGAGGCCTCTGTCTCCTGGTCCTGACATG